AAATTTATTTATTTATTTAATCACTTTCACCAGAGTGTGGTGAGGGTCGCACAACAGAGCGAGGCTCCAAATTAAGTGCGCCCTATATCCCACCCATCCCACCCCAGGGGAGGACATCCATCACACAGTAATCTCGTGTGTGGGAAATTAACGTCTCCTACCCCAACCCTGCAGGAGACGGGACCTCCATTTATTCGTCCCTATCCGAGAAGACTAGAATATCTAACCATTTCTTGATGTTATAGAAAGGTAGCAAATTCTTCTCAATTATTTTAAGACCCTGAGTGTTGATCCGGCCGGGGCTCGAACCCTCGACCTCCTGCACAACAGTCCAGCGCTCTATCCATTGAGCTAACCAGGAGGCGGTTGTATTATTATATGGGTCCTTATAATCCACTTAACAAACAGTTAGAATATGATAAGAACACTTTTGAGGTAACAAAATGGCATGTCAAGCCTTATAATCAAGTAGATGAAATAGCTGCAAAGCATGATACCTGTTATGACATGAGTAAAAACAAAGGTGACTGTGATGGCCAGATGGTTAAATCAATAAATGAGATACCTTATGGAGAGATGCCAAAATGGGGACAAACAGCTCGATTCTTGATCAATACCAAACAGAAATTAGGCCTTGGTGTAAAACGGAGGTAGTCAAAAAAACGGAAAAAGCCGTCGAATGAAGAAAACTGGCAATTAAAATTAGCGGATGAATTACACAAACCCATCAAGCGTAACTTTGATTGGCGGCATATAATTGTAAATCATATTGATGAAATATGGGCTGCAGATTTGGTTAAAATGCTGAAATTCAGCAAGTGGAACAAAGGCTATCAATATCTTCTTATGGTCATTGATGTATTCAGTAAATACGGTTGGATTGAGCCTTTGAAAGACAAGAAGGGTGAATCTATGACCCAAGCATTCAAAACCATTTTCAAAGAAGGAACTGATAAAGCCACTGTTCTTGTGGACTGACAAAGGTAAAGAATTTTACAATAAACACGTTGAAGAATTTTTGAATAGAAATAATGTCAAATTATATTCAACTGAAAATGAAGAGAAATCATCTGTTGTTGAACACTGGAATCGTACAATTAAAAACAAGATGTGGAAACAGTTTACTGTTCAAGGAAATACCCAATATCTTGACATTTTACCAAAAATACTGAGTCAGTATAATAATACCAAACACAATTCAATAAAAATTACGCCTATCGAAGCCTCCAAAAAGTCAAATGAAATCTATTTCAACCTGTATGGTGATATCAATACATCAAAACAAAAACCGAAATATAAAATCGGTGATAAGGTTCGAATATCAAAATACAAAAGACAGTTGTTCGATAAAGGCTATACTCCAATTTGGACAGAAGAGATATTCACTATTGATGAAATACAATACACGAATTCAATCACCTATCGATTAAGAGATTTACACAACGAAGAAATTAGAGGCAGTTTTTATGAGCCTGAATTATTAAGAGCTAAACAAGAAATATTCAGAATTGATAAAGTCGTAAAGAGAGATTACAAGAATAAAAGAGCTCTGGTTAGATGGAAGGGTTATGATGATGATTTGAACAGCTGGGTTCCTCTCAGGGTTCTACAAGCTATTTAAAGTTTTATTTCCATGGTAACCAAACATGTGATAGTCATGTGATATTGTCAACCAATCAGATGCTCACTTTACGATTTCACAATTATGAAACTTTTTTGTGAACTTTTCCAGTGAAAATGTTCTACAGTTGTGAATTCTCATCATCGGATTTAAATTTAATTTTCAATATGTGGTCATCAATAAAATCAGTTATTTGGTTTAAATCATTGCTTACAAGATATATAATTACCTCCTTTTTCAATACGTTGCCTGAATAATTCTTGTTCTGGCCTCAATAGAATTTTTCGTCCAGGCTTCTTTAATTCACAATAAATGACCTTTTCATTGTTTATAATAATGATAAGATCAGTGATTGCTTTGTGGTAAACTTTTTGCATTTTTTTTATTGCGACCTAGAAGTTCACCGAAAGTATGAACAATAAGAATTCTGTCATTGTTTTCATAATGTTCAAAAATAATGTTCATAAAATTATATATACTATATTTTGTCTATATCGTTTTCTTCTTGCTTTGTTTCACTAAATCGGAATATTTAATAATATCAGGTTTTCTAAAACTATCGTTTTCAACTAAAAGGAAAATGTAAATGTCTTTCAATGTTGATAAATAATCAAACAAATCCTTTTAATCTTCTTTGTCTTTATTAATTTTTACATTTAACCTACCTTTTTTACCACAAGTTTTTAACATATTTTTAATAAAAGAAAGTTTCGGTCCTAAAACAAAGAAATTAGAAGATTGTTGTAGCTCATCAATCAATTCTACATTCGCTTTTATGATATAAAAATCTTTCCCATCATATGTTTCTACGGTTCCATTAATGTTTTAATGTCCATATATAAATACTAGAAATAGAAAAATCAACAACGAAACAAAGTTTCCGTGACTTCTAGTTTCATGCTTTCGCAATCAGACGGTGGTTATTCCAATGGAAGACATACCTTATATGTGAAACTTAGTTCCTATAATTAGTGACACGTAATTCTACTGAAAGTGAATAAAAGCTAAGTTTTAAAGTTTGATGGGTAGAATTTGTTTTCGTGGCGGCATTTGGAAACTAGTTCAGATCTCGTGTTGACGGTAAAGTGTTTTTGTCGGCTTGGAGAATGTGGACTTTTTCTGCGAGGCACAGATTACATTTCTTAGTTTTTTAGAGTAGGTAGGAGCGTGGCAGAGAATAGACCAGTGAATCGAGTAGGTTGTTTGGCTGTTTTTCAGATCCCAGGTGTGCTTTGATAGTTCGATGGAGTTGGAGTACTTAGGGTCGCGGAAAGACAGCGTGTGTTGGGTGTAACGGCGTTGAAATCTACCTTCTGTGAGACCCATGTAGTTTTCTTCCATTGGGGTCGTTGTTCGTTGTGACGTTGGCTTTGTAGATCAGGCTTGTAGAGAGACATTTATTATTTAGGGGGCAATTCGCTTTCGTCCTGCAGTTGCATCCATCTTCCTGGGTAGTTTGGGGGGTGTCGAGAATGTTTTTGTTGTGGCGGCTGATAAAAGATTCCATATTTTCCATGCAGCAGTAGCTTACTTTGACTGTGTTCTTGTTGAAAATTTTGGAGTAGCGGTGCGATTTCGGGAAGTGTTTTTGGATTAGGAATAGGAATTTTCCTGCGATGTTGGTCTGGACGTTCTTACTGAAGGGAGGGTTGAACCATATTGTTTTCCGGTTTCTGTTCTTGCGGGCGTAAACTGTGGGTGCTTCGTAGTCGCGGAATTCTAGTTTGGTGTGGTATCCACTTGCTTTTAGCGTGGACGCGTATGGAGGCTTGGCATTATCGAATACTTCTCTATTACACGGGTTGGTGGAAAGTCGTCGGTTGATTGATTCAGGTAGATGGGCGATTATGGGCGGCGGATGGTTGGATTTCGTGTTGATGTAGAGGGGTCGTTGTTTGGCTTGCGGTAAGGATGGTATGTACCAGATTCAAGGTTAGGCGTGATGTACAGGAAATTGACTGTTTTCAGGTTAGTTTGGATTGAGATGGTGAGGCCGTGCTGTTTAAAGAGACTAATGAAAATACTATATAAATACTATATATTTTATCTTTACTGAAATAATCCATTCAAAAGTAAAGAAAAAGAATGAAATTCCAAAGTAAATAAGAATAATTAAATAACAAATTGTTTAATAATGTCCATATGCGCAACTGGTTATTCCACCCTCTAGAATATATCTTTTATCATCAACGCAGCAATTGACACTTTGTTCAGCTTATAACTTCCGAGTTGATGTTTATTACTTCGTATGGTTTTCATCTTGTGTTACATTTGTTTGTTGTCAAATAAAACCTCTTTGTAATTTTCATGTTTTAGATCATTTTTTGTGACATTCTTTTCAATACCTTTCGCTGTACGACTACCTTTGTTACCATCTTTGACATAACTGTACATCTTTGATCGCAAACCAACTATTGGTGTTCCACAAGTTTCATCTTTGAATTTGCCAATAACTTTTTTGTTCGATTCGTCATAATATTTTGAATGTTTCGGATAATCACTGTTGTCAAACATCTCTTTATCATTCCAAAAGTCTTTGTACACATCATCTGCTTGAATTTCATATGTTAATGAATCACTGTTTGTGAATAACAACTTAGCTTTGTCTCCGTACTTCTTCTTGATATAATTGTGGTGAAAGTCATACATCAATGCCTTTGAAAGATCGAGAATACACATTCCAACGTAGGCTGGCCTATTAAGAGGCAATGTTTCTTTTATCTTATGAACAGCGACCAGATTATCATTGCATATTTTACTTGATATAAAGGTTGGTTTTGATGCTAATTTCAACAGCTTTTCCTCATCAGTGACAAGTCTTACATCCACACGCTTTCTTAATTTTTCCATTGTCTTTCCAAATACCGAATTATTCATCAATTTGAAAAAGTCTTTATCGAAAGCATTCTTAGCTTGAGTTCTCTTTTGTGTATTAAAGTCGATGTCTTGTTTTAACCATGGTGGTGACTGATTGAATTCAAGTACTCTATGCACCTTTTTTAGTTTCATTCCAAGTTTGAGATATAATAGAAGATTTCGGTAATGCAGAACGTATTTCTCTTTATTTCATAACGTTGGGATCAATTTTGAAACAAGACCTGTTGATATATTGAATTTTTCAGCTATTTGTTTACAATACGTTGACAACATGTCTTGTTTGATCTTGATTTTTCCGGTGCAAGCCAATGGTCGTTATGCAAATCAAGATCGACTTCTAATATTAATCCCTTTTTACTTTCTTCAGTATAAACTCCAAGGTTTGTTTTATCTAGTCGTTTTTGTTGAAGCAATTTGAATCCTCCAGTTGGAAAGTATTGTGACATAGCCCAACCGTATAGATTATTGGCATCGAGGTACATTATATATTTCGAAGGTTCATTCTCATTATAATCTTTCATGTATTTGTTATTCGCTTTTCCATATCGATTAGCAATATGACTTATTCCTCCTCTCATACGTTTTTCAATGAATTGGAACATGTCAATATCAGTCATCAATTCAAGTTTAATGCCAGTCATTTTTAGCATAGCGTCCCAAGATAATCCAGGATTTGAGAAATAATGGTAATTAAGGATCGAGTTTGTAATATTGAAGACAAGTTTGTCTGAAATTCTCAAACACATCAGCTAACAACAATATGTCAGACTTTAGGTAGAGATCATGATAATCACCCATCGTTTTTAACTTGAATTTTTTCTATACATTTTGAGCATGTTTATATTCATCATCTGCGGAGATATGTTCATTATTCAATATGCTGTAAAATTCATCTTTGGTTGGCAGTTATCAAACTTATCAAAGCTGTCCATGTAATCGTAAGGATAAACACCTTTTTGAGTCATAAGATCGAATTTTTTTATTCTTAAATCTTTCTGATGTATATTTGAAAGCTTCTTGAGGAAGATTATTGACTAGTTTATCAAGACTTGAGCTCATGAATTGAAAACTATCAATGAAAGTAAGATGATTCCCAAGCATGAAAGCCATATACTTTTCCATGTTATTTGGGATTGCATTGATATTCATTTGGCACTCTTCTCCTTTTTTGTTTGTGTAATTATTGTTTTTAACATTCTCTCCAATTTCTTGCATGATGAAGTGTGAATCATATCCTCTCAAATTATGAAAGATCACAGGTATCTTACCAGTCATTTGAAAGTTAAGGTTACAATCCTGATGAGATGAACCCCTGAGTTTTCCAGTCACGTGACAGTGATCTCTGACTCGAATGTCTTTATCATTATATTTCTGTTCACAAATGTGATATTTATCAGCTTTTTGGAATTTTTCATCTTTTTTTGTCATTTTCAGATGTTTGTCAAATTTAGATTTAATAATCTTTTTGCAATATTTCACTTTTTCAAGCATCTGTTCCATGAATCTATAAACAGCTTTCTCACCACGATAGATGTTAATAGGTTTTGTATATTTATCATCATAAGTGCAAACAACCTGATAGCTACAACCACAGTCAGTATGTTTTTGATAAGCTTCAGTGAAAGATTCATCATCAGCTGGTTGACAACCTTCTACTTATTGCTTCAAAGTCAGCATAAATGACAAATGGAACAGGTAGTTTCTTATGATAATTATTGAATTTCAATATGTTATTATCTTTAGTTGGTATCTTTATGGCTTGATCTCCATTTATCACAAGAAAATTCTCTTTATGGTTGTTCAATACCTTTTCAGAACTGAAACACTGCAAACAATGCATACAGAAATGCTTTCTCTCTTTGTGTTTCGTTTGGTTAAACATAAATCTCTTAAAATCTTTTATCAATACACAATGTGAATTATTATCTTCTGTTATCAATAAAAGATTCATATTATCTTCATTTCTCTCACTCATGTATATTGGATATCTCATTCAATTAGCATAACCAAATACATTGACATTAATGTTATTTTGTTTTTCGATCTTATTGATTTGTTTAATGGTTGCCGGAAATTCAATTCCAGAATAATCTAATTCGTCAATAAAAGCTTTATCAACTTTTTTAATCCTCTTAGGATCCTTCTCTTGTGGATTCATGTGTCTAATATGACACCAACGAGAACATTCATTATCAGTATTTTTCAAATTAATTAATCCTTTTTTACCATTTCTTAATTCTAATGGAAGTTGAATGTGAGAAGAACCTTTTCATGGGATTATATAGGACAGTACTCAGGTAGTGACTATCGAAAGATCGAATACGCCAGCCAGATCCCTCTGAAATCCATTGTGCAATTCGATTTAATATATTTTGTTTTGTTGATTGTAAAGAGTCTACTAGTTCTGTTTTATTCTTTATTGTCTGAGGTTTCTTTTTAAAATATGCTGTTTTCAACTGAACTTCACCATCAAAATTATCCTCAAAAGTAATCTTTTCAAAAGTTATTTTTAATGCCTCTACGAATTTGAGACCTTTTATCTCATTCAATATATTCTCAATGAATTTACCAATAGCCAATCTTGTGCTCTGCATTTGAATTAAGAACGTGTCCACGAGAGCACCAGGCAGTCGTGAGGAACTTTGCCAGTTCAAAGGATCTACCCCAAAACTAAAAATGAAAAACTGGTTTCTGCTTTGGTTATTTCCGGGGGGAGATAGACCACCCCCCGGTTTTTTAGGTTTTCACTAAAAAATGACCTCAAAATCTATAGGTAAAATGTAAGAAGCTCGTACTGCAACTGTATTTAAAAAATTACTGTGACGGTTTGCATACATATTGGTACATCCTTTATGAACGTGCGATACAAGTTTTAATCGATTTTATTGACGGCTTGTCAATCAACAGAGGTGAATAAATTAGTGTGTTTTTACACTTTTCGATTCACTCAAATATTTGGTAACTTTGAGATCAAATATCTCCCCTTGCCAGAAAGCTACAACACTAATTTGAACGGCCCTTTCTAGTCCGTTATTTCATCTCTGAAAATCATTAAAAAAATCTTTGGGCACTGCCATATTTTTGTGTGGAATGCCATTTGAAATCTGTAACTGTGAAAGCTTTTCTCAACTACACCTATCACGCAATTCTAGCTGTAGGCAGTTATTTAGGTAAGTATACCATCATTTTAGAGCTGGTTAAACAGGATAATTAATCAAGGAAGCTAAGAAATGTAAGCAACTTTCCAGATTCTCGGTGGAAACTGGAAATATCACGTTTAAAGAGAAGCATGTAGGCGAAATACTGATGGGAGAATCGTACTTTTCTCCCTTCTGTCGTTTATTTATGAGATTTGATAAAAATAGGCAAATATGGCTTTCTTACGGCAAAACACATTTATTAGTCTTTGATTTGATTGTTTATGACCACAGTTTACAATCAAGAGATTGTAACAGGAGAGGAGATTTTAAATTCACATGCTGCGTACTTGTTGACATACAAGTTCCCGAGTACAACAACTTCGGCTTTTACATACAGTGGATGACGAGAAACTCTGCTCTCTCGCTTGAAAGGAGATATAGATAGCTCTATCAAGTTCATAAATTGCGTTATTTCTCCAGAAAATAAGACTGGTAAGTCTTGTTGTTGCCACTTACCACCACAATGGACCATAATGAAATTTTCACGCAAAAATGCTATTTATAGCGTGACCTCGTGACCTTTCATAATTATCAAGTCCTTTTTCAAGGTAACACCACCAGAATGTTCTAAAAACCTTTATCATTACAACTGCCAAGAGTGCAATGTGACATCTGGCTTGCACATTTATGCAGGAAAGGTTATAACTTTCAGGGAGAATAATGGCAGATGCAGATGAAATTTGCATGTTTAAAAAAATGCAGATTTTTTATCAATAAGCAAGCAAATAGCAAAGAGATCTGAAGAATTTTCGAAAGTTGTTCTTTGGCAGACAGCGTGAACAAAATGCTTGAATAATTCATATCTCCATGAAACGTTTCCAAGTCACGCCACAGATATTTAGTTCGGTCAAGTTCTGCATGAAAATGTTCGATAGTAGTAAGTGACAACGATAACACCATTCTAGTTTTATTTTCTGGAATAATAGCGCAGTTTATTGATTTAACATAGCAACTGAAATTTCCTTTCGAGCGAAAAGGCAGAGCTTCTCGTCTGTACTGCAAACGGAAACTTGTATGTCAACAAGAAGGCGGCATGTGAATTTAAAATCTCCTCTCCTGTTACAACCTCTTGATTGTAAACTGTGATGATAAACAATCAAATCAAAGACTAATAAATGTTTTTTGCCGTAAGAAAGCCATATTTGCCTATTTTTATCAAATCTCATAAATAAACGACAGAAGGGAGAAACGGTACGATTCTCCCATCAATATTTCGCCTACATGCCTCTCTTTAAACGTGGTATTTCCAATTTCTACCGAGAATCTGGAAAGTTGCTTACATTTCTTAGCTTCCTTGATTAATTATCTTGTTTAACGAGCTATAAAATGATGGTATANGCTAGAATTGCGTGACAGGTGTAGTTGAGAGAAGCTTTCACAGTTGCAGATTTCAAAAGGCATTCCAGACAAAAATATGGCAGTGCCCAAAGATTTTTTTAATGATTTTCAGAGATGAAATAACGGACTAGAAAGGGCCGTTCAAATTAGTGTTGTAGCTTTCTGGCAAGGGGAGATATTTGATCTCAAAGTTACCAAATATTTGAGTGAATCGAAAAGTGTAAAAACACACTAATTTATTCACCTCTGTTGATTGACAAGCCGTCAATAAAATCGATTAAAACTTGTATCGCACGTTCATAAAGGATGTACCAATATGTATGCAAACCGTCACAGTAATTTTTTAAATACAGTTGCAGTACGAGCTTCTTACATTTTACCTATAGATTTTGAGGTCATTTTTTAGTGAAAACCTAAAAAACCGGGGGGTGGTCTATCTCCCCCCGGAAATAACCAAAGCAGAAACCAGTTTTTCATTTTTAGTTTTGGGGTAGATCCTTTGAACTGGCAAAGTTTTATTGAAATCGGCGAGATGGCATGTATCACGACTGCCTGGTGCTCTCGTGGACAAGCTCTTAATGGATCTTTATCATT